AAGCAGATTACGTCTGCTCCATATCTCCTTGTCAATATCGTCTGTTATTAGCTCATATACTTAAAATGAAGACGATATTAGAACCAATACTTTTGCCTTAAAAATTGCCAGTTTGTCTTTAAGTATCGTTCTACCAAAAGTTCTTGAAAAACATTGGGGTCTGTCGATGTTGTTAGAAGTTTGAAAAATGTATCTGTGAAACGACTCGTCTGGAGTGCGGTTTCTTCATCGACATTTTGTTGTCGAGGTGATTCTTAGCTATGAAATGTAACAAATATTTGAATTGAAATTAAAATTGAATTAAAAGAGAAAGATGGCGAAATAGCATCTTTTTCCATATGACCTTGGGATCTGCCTAAATTGATAGCTCGTCAATGAAAATAATTACTAATTAGCAGCTACAAATATCTATAGAAGCGCCATGCCATTAATCATTTAACGTTATTTTAGGCCGTTTTATACGAAAAGAGACGCTATAATATGTATGGTACGTGGTTTGTGAGGTGTGATTGTCAATTGAGCTTCGACTTCGTAGTGTCGATATTTCTGAAGTCGAGATTTTGTGCGATTGAAAGACTCATTAGCTCAATGTTCTATGCTATATGTCGAAGCCCAATTTGTTTATAGAATCCCTATTATAGCAAATAATACATCACCGGGAGCATACGGTATATAGGTAGCATGTTGAATCTTCCTAATACTCTCACATCAAGAAGCAAGGAAGCACCGGCCCAACATATCTCTAAGAATCATAACAAATGGTGGTGCCCCATTGGACTATTCATTCTCACGATTTTCGGCAAACCTCTTACTTCGAAAACAACGTCTGAAGCTTCTCAATATACACATATTATTCAAAATGACAAAGAATTTAGCAATTAGAATAGTTAGGTACCTACTGCTGACTTTTGAACAGAAATATCGTTAGACAGGTCAAGAGGGAAGTCACTTACAGCGGTCACTAGACTTTCTAAGTTATATCCTATATCATCACAAGGGTTATTTGTTCCAGCGGAACATGTGAAAAACTCTAGGAATGAGTTGATGGCTTGGTAGTCTAAGGGCCCCCGCGCACTAGGCAGCCTGGCTACGCAGCCAGTAAAACATATGACGTTGTGCCCGCGCACTAGGCAGCCACGAATTCCCGGCTGCGGCAGCCAATACAACGCGCCTGTTTGCACGGCAGCCGACTGGCTGCCCGCAGCCAGAACGTGTGTAGGCGAATGTATGTGGCTGCGCCAGTCTCCGCGCACTAGTTGTAGCAGCCAGACGTATTTTGCGTTCCGAACTTTTTCAAAAGATGACTTTCGATACAGAGAAATTTATTCGGGAAATTGAAAGCCGTAAAGCAATTGAAAGTATTGTAATGAGAGAAGAGCGTGAAAGACAGCACGAGTCTGATTCAGATAGACTATTTATGCTTTCACTTCTAGATGATTTTGAAAACATCCCGAGACATCGTAAGCTTTCTACAAAAATGGAGTTAATTGAAGTTATAAAAAGAGCTCTAATGGAAACTCACGATTCCGAATTTAGTCCGTTTCGGCAACGTTATGTTGATTATGAACCAGGGACATCGGCCGCCACATCATATAGACCACAAACATCGTTCAGTGGACAATATCGCCAAGGTCAAGGATACTCGACTGAATATGGACCGGAAACCACAAGTGGTGGGCAGTATCACTATATGCACTCGACACACTCGAATTATAGACCAGAAGCCTCGACCACTGAAAGCCGCCGTGGGTATTCTACGGCCGTTCCAGACAGGCAAGACAATACTGTTTATACTGATGCGTTATCACCAACTGACACAAATGCAACAGATACGTCTCAGGGTTCGGAATTACTAGAACTATTTACTACACAGGACAACTTGAACTAGGAAATTCATTACCATACATGTAAGAAATAAATAATAAATGTTATGACTAATTAACAGTAATTGAAGAGTATAACTTCTAAAGGGTCTAAGTGCCAATTGACGAATTTTTAGTTAGAGTATGAAAAACGGTTCTAAGTTCCAACCCCAATAAAAACAAAGAGTCTATGTGCCAATAACATATCTAAATGGTTCTACTGTTAATCCAAAAATAAAATAAAAAATATGTAATAGGCTTTTCGTATTGTTTTTGTATTGTTTTTCTCGTTAATCCCAAAATTATAATTTTGGCACTTAGACCCTTTAGAAGTTATACTCTTCAATTATCTATCATTTTCGTACTCACCTCAAAGTTATCACCAGTTTTTCTTCAGGACTTATACAAGCTCGCATACGAGCATCAATACCCTTGATTGAATTTCGTATTTTTTCCAAAAGGTTATCAAACGATTGCACTGACATTCTCGTGTAGTTAAAAAACCGGTCTGGGAATGCACGAACATCTTTGAAATAGGTTTGGAATAAGCCTTTTGAGTGTCTTTCTAAAAAAAGTGGATGAATCCAGTGTCTTTTCTTTGTTTTGCGTTTTATATAACAATAATAAATTATTTCCAAAAAATAACTTGTTTTACTATCTGCCCAGTTAGTGGTCTGTGAGACCCAACATGGATCTTTGCGTCCAGATGGCTCACATGGTAGGTTAAGGGATAGTTCAGTCAATGGCGCAACATAAGAATTAGTCAGACATATAATAGTGGTGTACATCAGGGCTGTCCAACTTAATGTGGCCCTAGGACGTTTTTACGAGATAGATAAGCAATAATTATAAGTTCTTCCACGTCCTTATCGCTTTACGGAAGGATCTAGACTAGTCGTTGATTGGCTGCTATAACTGGCTGCGCAAACGTTCTGGCTGCCGCAGCCTGGCTGCGTAGCCAGGCTGCCTAGTGCGCGGGGGCCCTAAGAGGAAGTGATTGGAGCTTGCATATGTTGAGAATAATTATTATAAAATAAGAAATTACGAAGTTTTCGGGTGTCTGAAAGGTTTGGAAGATTGACAAGAGTAGCTGCTAAGGTGTTGTCATTGTGTTTGAGAACTAATAAAAGTTCACTGAGGAAGTGCAGTAGTTTTTCTTCTAGAAACAGTAAAAGTAAAAGTAAAAACCCGAACAGCATCGAGCTGGATATAGTGTCTAACCGGTTTAAGTAGTTTAGTAATATCAGATGTATTGTTTTTTAATAAAAGAGGATTTCAAAATTTTGGATTACACGTATCGTCGAAAAGAAGTGGTTTTTCGAAAAACGTCGGATACAATAGTTCAAGAAAAGCTTCAAGAATCGCATCTTGGAGTTGTGCCTGATGTTTGGGTTTTAGGTAATGTTATCCTTATACTCATAATGTGCATTATATTATTCGTCCAAAATATCTTTCATCGAACAAATCAATACGATCTTGTCTCATCATTAAGGGTAAAATGCATCATAAAAATAGAAAATATTACTAAACAGTTATTAAAATAGAAACTATACATCAAACAGCTTAAATTATGCTCCTAGTGGTATACTTAGGGACACACAACGATATTTGATACAGTTGTACCTCATCGCTAAATTTCACAGTGACAGATGTTGCAACCTTTTATGTTCTGTTATCGGAATGTAGGTACTTCTTACGATCTATACATACACCAATCGATTTTTCTAATTTTATATACAGAAATCATAACGAGTTCAGAGCATACAGTAGAGGTTATTAACAAATATGGGTAAATAGTTTCAACAACGTATAGTTCATGTTTCATTCTCGTCGTAATCATTTATCGTTCATTATTTTAATGTCAGTCTTTAAGCTTATATACAAGTGTTTATTATTGAATATCAGTTTATCAGAATCTAAAAATTTCTTGCGTCCAGCTTCTATTGGTTAGGAGCAGCAGTATATGACGTCAAGTCATTGAAAGTTTCTGATAATCGATATTCATTTACGTTTTATAGGAATAGCTTGACATCATTGATCATTAATTTTCAGGTCAAAATGACACATGTAATTTTGGCTTTGAGCGTTGCTGACATATCCAACAAAAAACACGCCTTCAAAATAAATAGTTTACGTATCAGCGCTACTGTATTGGTATGGATATACGAGTATTAGACCATGCTAACCAGACAAAAACGGACCCTGTTCTGAAACGAGTTGAATAGACGGATTTTACAACGGAATCACATTCTTCTCCGCCTAGATACAAATAGATACAAAACATTTTTCTGGATAACTTTTGTATCAAACATCAAATTTGGAAAAATCATTATACCATGTGTTTTCGACTATAGGTCTGAGTGGTCTATACAAAAGTTGTATAGGATGAAAATACCTTCAAATCAGACCTCATATACCTAATTTGCTGAAGCAGTTACGTTGCTAGGAAGTTCGTAACAGTGACCATTTACCTCAAAAACATTAGTGGCAAATAAATTTGCACATACTGTTGACCATATTTGATGTTTTTGAGGATTCTAGTTTTGACTACCATTTTATATTTTATGCTGTGCACTTTTTGAAATTTGAAACCTGACGATTTTGTAGGATAATAACTTTATTTGAATATATGCGGTCTCATTTTGAATGCTCATGATCTACAAATTTATTTACCACCGCTTTGTAGGCGTTTAACTGAGTAAAAAGTATTTTTTTATTTTGATAGTTAAAAAAGCTACTCTGAAATATTTTCATCTATTCTGAACGGTATACTTTTGTCGTGAAATCCGCCTAAGCTTTGTTTTGAAGTTTTGGGTATCTTACCTTTTGACCATAAAAATAGAGAATAGCAGAACTATCATACAAAGGTCCAAGATTTCGGTGGATCAAAGAGAAAAAAAAGAAATATGTTTTTTTGCGTTGCTTGATGTCTCGCTTCCTCCTACCTATTATTAAATAGTTTTAAATACATACAATTACACGTTTTACTTTTAGTAGCTCTAATTATTGCGGTTTCATGGGGTATTGTCGTTTCTATTTTTGAAATAAATTTGAAGCTGATAGGCTAAGAGCTATTGTCCTTACCTTATGGCACGAGGGACCCAGGCCCAGAGCCCGACCCGGACGGGGTAGTGGCAAATGCCAAAATTTCCGAAAAAATGGTCTGAGAACGCCCCTTCCCCGTCTTCAAGTTTCCTCTACGCAAAGTTTAAGTCGCCTGCAGCCGCAGGCCCGGAGCTCTATGTTCAAGGGCCCTTCACGACTCAAGTCGCCTCTGACGATAAGAATATGTATAGTGGAAACTTGTAGATTACCAACTGAATAAAAAAATAAGAAATGTGTTCGTTTTATGGATACACGAACTTTTCTGCTCAGTTATTGTGCCTTAGTAAATGTCCAATTCCCCATGAAGACCCACCGAGTGAGTAATTTTGAAAGTCGGTCAAAGCAATCACAGAGGCACAGCATAGGAAAGGCATGCTGGATATGACGAGATTCTAAAATGTCATTTCAGATTTGTATATTAGTCTAATCATATTAGCAAATTTCCCCGAAATAATTGTAAAGCCTGGTTTTATTGGTGCAAGCTGTTCAAGGGGGTACTTAAAATATGGACGCATAAAATGGGTAGGACACCAATTTTTGTGGGAAAACCTTTTATTTAACAAAGAATGAGAAAACGTGTTGTTTGGGATTCAATGGAAAATGTTGACAGGAACGAAAAAATCTTTCATGAAGAGTGCTTCCGTTCCTGCCAACACTTTCGATTAAATCTCAAAAAACACGTTTCCTTATTTTGTCGAATAAAAAGTTTTCGCACAAAAAGTGGTGTACCCATTTTATGCGTCTATGTTTTAAATCCCCCTTGAACAACTTGCATCAATAGAACAAGACTTTACAATTATTTCGCAAACCAGGGGTATTTTCATCTAATATGATAAGACTATATTCCGAAGCAGTTTTCACCGCAATACCACACAATACTACGCCATAAACCAAGCATGATTGATGGAAGGTTGAGATATTTGTGCACTCTATATCTTAGATGAATTAGTTGTATGGTTTGCAGGCATGCAATAGGAGATTAGTGAAATAATCCGATCCAATGCTTATCTGACTTGCTTCGTACTCACATTTTCGTTTTTCGTTTGTTATCCATTAAGAGTCGGACCATTTCAGCTAATAAGTGCAAAGAACTGTCAGATTTGATAGTTTATGAAGCAAAAAATGTTGAGAACTGTCAAAGCTATTCCACGACCACTGTTATTATTGATTTCTTTGAAAAAACATCCAAACCATCAGTCTTGACATGTCTTTGCTTGACGAGTTGGTGGGAGATGGTTGAGATATCACACTCGTAGCGTGAGAAGCAGACATGTTCTATATCAAAATACATCTAAAAATATAAGGCTTCCAAGTAAGTGGATGATCCATGACACAAAAATGGACTTGAAGTTAGGTTAGGTACAATTTAAGCCACCGTTTAAAAGCTAAACGATTTGAAGCTCCTGGCTAATACATTTACAATACACTAAAATATAAATATAACTGCATACGTTTTATAACGTCACTGCTTACGCGGATTTCGTGGTACTCGCGCGTAAACTCGTAAAGGCTGACGTACGATGGGTTCCGTTCCATTTTGGTATTTGACTAAAGAGCTACAAGCTCTGGTGCATTAATTCTTTTACAATTCCTTCACCGGTTTTGAGCTTTCTATTTGTTGTTACTTTACGGTGTATTATAAATATACGGTAGCATCTACGGGAAGTACTTTTTACACAAGTCTATCTATTAATTGACGTATGCAGAACTCATACAGGTCCACTATACATTTGGTTCAACGATTTAACAGTCAGCACCATTTGTACAGTGCGTAACATTAAATTTATACAATTATTCAGGTTTTAACCACCTAGGTATATTTACAACGTATTCTGTTGTTGTACAGGCTTTTACGTTATTACATCAAGCTATTATATTTCCAACTCGTACAACCTTACTCCAATGCATTGGATAGCTGGAGCTGTGACTGAGAAGCTCCATGTACTTGATGTTCATGCAACATCTAGCTTCAATTGGAGTAACATGAATATTGAATTACATAGTGTCCCTACCTAGGTAGACATTCATTATTATTTATTAGTGATCTATTTCGGAGTTACCCAGTATCCCATTAAAAGCTGAATGTGGTCATAACAGAGATACTGTGCAACAGTAGGTGTGCCTACAACTACGATTGTTTATTACCAAACTCCTCAATTACTATCCATCAGCTTTTTTATAAAATGTTTAGATTGAGTATGAGACATCATTTCTGTTTGTTCAACAAAGACTAGAAGTTTACAGTAGCACTTCCTGAACAACAGCATCTAGAGATTGTTTTCTGGTTATAACACTTGGCCATGATTCAAGAAGTTCTTTAAATACCTGCTAATAGCCCAGAATATGGTTCCTCGGATAACTTTATCAGCAAAAGTTTATATGAAGATATGTCCGCATTGGGTTAACTTTTTCTCTACACTATGTTAAATTTTTGTTAAGCTTCTGAGTACATTATGCTTTTTAAATGTTCCCTGAGATCACTAATTCTCGGATTTTGATAAAATGTTCACACAATGTTACCACTATGCAAGGATGAAAAAGGTTGGTAATTTTTCAAAATCAGTCTAGTGGCAGAGGAGCAAAGTGCAAAAAATCAAAAAAAAACTAAGTTTATTTGTGACATTTCGTAGGTTTTTTGTGACATTTCGTAGGTTTTTCTACAAGATGTTAACTTAGCACAAACTGTTGTATACGTGTGGTGAACTGGTTTTGTAGTTGAACGTGTTGCTTAAACGTCAGCAAACAGCGATCATCGTGATCAAACCTGGAATGAACTATTTGTACACTAAAAATGACCTAGTCTGCAAGGTGCCATTTCGTCAGTTTTTTGACGTTTTTTAAGTTGTTTACATTATGCAGGTCGTTTTTAGATTTTTTTTGCAGGAGGTCAGCATTGGAAGCTAGTAACTGATGCGTATCTCTGTTTCGTAATGCTCAAAGTTGAACACAAAATCATGCTAATTGTGTATGTTTTGAGGAGCAATCGAATTCCCAGAAAGGGCGGGAGTCAAGGCACGGCAGAAGTTGGTACGGAACGGGAGAAGTTTCTAGACATACTCGCGGGGAAGTATTGTAATCATCACGAAAAAAATTGTAAATGAGATATTATGATTTTTGGATGTTATATGACATGCAAATCACGAAAAACCATGTCACTCATTTCCGTCGGTATGTCTGCCGGTAGGTACCGCGCGGAATTCGATTAAATTTTGACATAATGTTACTAAGGTAGTGGAAGTAAATATGGCCCAGCGGATAATATGGCCCATGTGACATATTTTTGAAGTTTAGAAAAATTGAGTGAGTCTGGCAACACGGCAATAAACATACAGGTACGTACAACTAAATTTTGGCAACAGCGCGCATATGCACCATAACCTATGAAAACGGCAGCCGCTATCATTTTCAACAACGTTTGTGTCGAAGTTAATATAATCTCAGCTTCACGCGTCTATGTGAATTGTGGGGCCAAAGAAAATTGGGTGAACATCTTATTCAAAACACCTGGTAACTAGATGTTTTAAGCTAATTTTTCATGATATTTCGTTAATGCACGTTTAGAGGTTATGTTAAGTTGTGCCGGTCTTTTCGCTCAAACATGTGTCGGCGAATATGGCCCAAAGAATCTGGTGGGCCATATTACCCACTAATCGCGCTAGATTTCAAAAATCATACATTTTGTAATTGAGACGTTGTTTCAGGCTAAAATGGTAAAGTATGCTAAGAGAAATTTAACAAAACGATGGACGCAAGAACAATATTAGGAGCTGTAGTCTCAGTTGTCAGGACAGGAGAAACCCAGAGAAATGCTTCATCTAATTTCTTAATTCCCAGAAGAACTTTAACCCTTTGAGCCCGAAATTAATTAAAATTCACAAACTCCTAAAATTTATTGAACAATGAGTTAAAAATAGTACAAATAAACCTCTAAAACAAAGTACTCTCAAATAAACATGTGTAGCTATCCTTCAGGACGTGGTCACCAACGCTAACCACCAGGAACTAAGGTACACTTTCAAAAAAGAATTAAAAAAAGTTATCTTTTGTGAAACAGTGAGAAGCAGTTTCTATCTTTATTCAAGCATAATCCCACATGACACGTCGAACACTTCCATATAGTTCTATGTGGATTATCAAGTGTACTGCAGTAGGAGCATCTAAGAGATGTTGATCTTTCAGGCATGTGAGAAGCCTTACAGTATCGTACTTCATAGGGTACCACCTTCTTGAATCTATTTACAGTAGGTGCAAAAGATGGTCTTCCTCATTTAGTGGGTCCTATTACTCCAATGAGACCTCGTGCCAAAGACAGTCGAATTTTTTTCAGAGTTAATCCCTTAGAGTTACTTCTTAGCTGGAAGAGTACAAAACTGTTTACAACGCAAGCATCTAGGAAGTAGAATAGAATTCTATGCCACCACTTATGTGCTTTCCTGTTAACTTCATAGAGACTTTTCAACATATCAAAGCGATCCACATAGCCCATATGGGCATTGTATTCATAAACCATCTGGGGACATGGTATATCCTCTGGAGAGCCGTCTTTTCTTTTTCTAGATGCTGTATCTAAAACAGAGGGATCATTGTGATTTACCAACATAAGTATGCTACGCCGGTCTACCCATTTCAGGGCAACTAAACCATCTTTGGAAATATGCCAATCGGCTTCACCACGTTTCATATCCTTGTCTGACTTGAATTCAGGACAGTGCTTTCTACCCTTTCGTAAGGTACCACAGGAGTATATTTTATTGTTGATCAACTGTCTTTGTAACTCGACAGAATTGAAAAAGTTGTCAAAGTAAATCTTGTGGTTTTTTCCAACCAAGTTTCTACTTAGATCTATAACAACTCTCTCTCCTAATTTCTTTTCTGGAGCGTGATCCACCTTGCCGGTATAGATTTGAAATTCACACATGTATCCACTGGAATCTGCTCTGACCCAAACCTTATAACCGCGCTTTATAGGTTTCATTGACATGTACTGTCTGATACTGTTGCGGCCTTTGAACCGTATCATTGATTCATCTACTGACTGAAACTCATTTGGCTTTAGTGAAGAAAGAAATGTCTCTTGTAATCTGGAAAGAAGTGGCCTCACTTTATAAAGTTTGTCATATGGTGACTGATCCTTTTTGGGCTGTACGGAATTATCATTGAGGTGAATATTACTTAGTAACCATGCGAAACGGTCTCTGGAAATACAGCCACTAATAAATGAGTCTCTGAGCACTTCATCTGACGACCAGTAATCTTTATAACTGGGTAGCCTTTTTACACCCATCAGCAAGTTTACAGCGAAGAAAACTTTGATTTCATCCTTCGTTGTAGGAACGAAGTTTCTTCCATCGCCAAATTTCTGTACACAATATAAGTTTGTTTGAAAAACAATATGGTCGGTGAGGTCTTCAGGAAACAGGTGCAAAAAAAACGTCCGTAGGTGTTTCAATGATATCAGGCAAATTGGGGCCAGCCTCTTCTTCAAATTTGCTTGGTTGGTTGATGTATACTGTATCTTTGGTCCAGTAGCAAGGCAGAAATATATCATTTCTTCTAGCTAGTGGAATATCATCGTCACTTTCCCACTGCCCATTGTCTAAAGAGCAGTTTCATCTTCGATCAAGTCCTCAAAAATGACATCCATATTCCGAAGATTGAAAAGATCATTATTTAGGTCAGCATTTTCTTGAGTAATGGGTATTTCATCACTCATAACAGCGTCCAGATCATCTAGTACTGACTCATTATCACTAGGTACCTCGTCTACATCCTCTACAATTTTATAAATATCAGCTAGGCTCATACTTTCCAATTCAGCGATCGACCATTTTTTTTCGCTGAAAAGAATGGGTCACGTAAATGAAACCAGAAAATATTAGTTGACATTAAAAATTGTCACAAAGTTACACATAAATAACTTTTGTCAAAAAACAAAAGTTGGGTACTTTCCTAGTGGTTACTACACAAAACCACCGTAAATAATGTGATATTTTGCTAATCAGAAATCAGATGCGTGCAAAATTCGACCATATATATACGTAGTCGTGCCATAAGTTCTGTCCCATGATAATCTCATGATAAAAATGAAACAAGATAAGATATATTTATATGAAAGATATTATTTATTCGACAACATTTTTAGAATTCATAATCAAACAGTTTTATTCAAAATGTCCCCCCTTGGCCTTCACACACTGCTTCAATCTCGCGGGCCACTCATCTATCACTGCACGCACAGCTTCCAAAGGAATAGCTGCCGCTGATCGGATCAAATCCGCTTTCAGGGACTCGATATTACGGTGGGCTTTGGAGCAGGCCAACTGCTCTAGCAGGTCCCACAACTTGTAGTCTAAAGGATTGAGGTCCGGACTCCCTGAGGGCCAATCTTCCGCAGCAATGAACTCTGGCACATTGCTTTCCAGCCAGCGCTGCGTACTCTTAGCCTTGTGAGCGGGGGCGGAATCCTGCTGGTAGACCCAGTGTTGGTTGGCAAACAATGTACCACTTAAAGGCTTGACGATAGGATCCAGTATGTCGCTCTGATAGTTTGCCGCTTTTGTTTTCACGCCCTGTTTACAGAAATGGAGCTGAGTGACCCCTTCGTAGGACACCCCCCACCAAACCATGACTGACGCAGGGTGGTGGCCTCTCTCAACTCTCGGAATGATCTCCGAAGCTTCCTGTGAACTCCTTGCATACACTTTGTCATTTTGTCGGTTGAATTTTTCTTCTATGGTGAAGATTTTCTCATCCGTGAACAAAATCTTTCGGAATCCCCCAGCTGCGTACCTCTCCAAGAGCTTCTTGGATCTTGTCGCCCTGATGTGTCGCAAGGTGGCCGTAAGTCGCTGGCCCGTACGTCTCCGGTAAGCCCCTAGCCCTAGGTCTTGTTTAATGATGCGCGACATCGTCCGGACAGGAATCTTCATTTCCCTGGATAGGATCTTCTGCTTCCGGAGTGGATTCCTTTGAATCCTGGCTTTTACGGCTTTGATGGCTGCTGGAGTCCTTACTTGACGAGGTCTTCCGCTTCTTGGCCTGTCATCAACAGAGGACGTCTCATTGTACCGCTGAATGGTCCTAGACACAAATTTACGCGATATTTGAAGGCCGCGTAAGAGTTCAAAAATCTGACTAGCACTGTGATTACACTTATGTAAAGCTATCACTGCAATACGGTTCTCTGCCTTGCCCCACTCCATCGTTATGCTTCGAGAGATCAATACAAACTGAGGTATATGTAATTACCCGAAAAGCGCTTAATCAACTGACACCACAATGTAAACAATCGGACAAGTATTAACAGGTCTACACTTGTTTGAAAACGAGGGACAGAACTTATGGCATGACTACGTATATACACTTTTTCACCAAAGAACTACTAATTGATCTATAAAATCTTCACCCTGTACTAGGTGTTAACCTACTTGGACATTTGACGTTATACGAAGCAGGAATACGCACCAAATATAAGTTTATTTCGTTTGTTTCCGCTGAATACAGGTTCAGCATGCATTAGGCAAGACGTTACACACTATGGTTAGCCAGGGATACCGCTAGGAAAATAGCAAAATGAGCTTTGAAAGATGGTTTTTGGTGCTAACCAGTGGGGCTCAAAGGGTTAAGAAAGTATATGAGGGAAGGCCTTCAAGTAAAACGGTTAGGAAGACCGAGCATACTTACCTATGAACAAGAAAGAGATTTCGTAAACAGAATAAAACGATATTGGTCTACCGTTAACACCACACCTAGTGCGACATCAGATGTAACTGTTCTGTGAATTAAATGGAATATCACATATATGTTCAATGTTGAAAAACAAACTGCTGGCAAAGTCTGCTTCAAAGGAACCTTGATTTGACCAAACGAAAATCGCAATTGATGAATCCAGCACGAGCACAGAAACTAAAGTTCATTGTTGAATACTACTTCTCTAAATTACGGAGTACTTTTAGGGAACTGGACATTTTTGACAAACCGCAAAATATATTCAACATGGACGAAAAGGCTTACCATTTATCACCAACAAAGCGTATTGGCCCAAAAGGAACAAAAACGTGTTCATATGGTGGCGCCAGAACATGCGCAGAATGCTTCTATTGTGGGCTGTTATAATGCTGCCGGAAATTCGATTACACCGATGATAATATTTAAGGGAAAACGTTTTAAGGAGGAACTTCAGGACAATTTGCCACATGGTGCGCTGGCGAAAATCGCATTCAAGGGAAGCATGAACACTGAAATTTTCAAAGATTTCTTACAGCATTTTGCAAAATTTGAGCCATCGAATGGTGAAACACTCTTAGTTTTTGATGGGGCCTCCTGTCATTTGGATTATACGATCGCGGAATCTGCAGAAAGTCTAGGGATAACATTTTTATGTCTACCTTCGAACACGACACACGAGCTGCAACCCCTGGATAAGGCGGTGTATCGATATTTTGAGGCGTACTGGGATCAAGAACAGTTAAAATATTGGGATCTTTATCCAATAGAATCGTCAACAAAAGCCGCTTTAATATAATTTTCTCAAGAGTTTGACCGAAGTGCATGACCCTGGAAAACATCATCAGTGGTTTCAGAGCAACTGGCTTCTTTCCGCTAGATCCTTCTGCAATCCCCGAAGCTACATATGCTCCATCAACGTTAACCAATAGGCTACAAGAAGAAAACGAGATGAACCGCAATGAGGAACTTGCTGACGACCAAGGTTCTTTTTCAGAAGACGACGACCTACCTCTAACACTTGTCTAAAGCCGTTGGCTCTTGGTACATTGACCGCTGGCCCATTAACCACTGCCAATTCAGTGGGTAAGCCCACAAATGAGAAATCATTTACGGAATTGTTACCAACTCCTGTAGATCAAAAGGAAAAAGTAACGACTATCCGCAGAACTGCGTTGAATTACAAGGCCCAAAGGATAACCAAAAAGATGTTCACGTCTAAAAAGACACGTGATGCGGAAGCAATAGAGAAGCCGACCGTACAAGCCAAAGGGAACAGTAAGGAGTCTTGGTTTTGTCCTGCTTGTGGGAAAGATGAAAAACTAGACATGCGCATGTGCATAATATGTCTCACATATTTTCACGAGGTTTGTGTAGGGTTGGAAGAAATGGATGATGACGATTTTCAGTGCCCCAACTGTATTTAATGCAAATGTGTTATTTATAGATATTTAGGATATGGCCATATTACCCACTCAAGTGGTTAATATGGCCACATGCAGGGGTTTTGTTTATAGTGAATTCTTATGTTAATTTTATAAAGAAAATATTTTGTGTTAGTAAACTTTATACATTATAGTTGCTGTCTATGATAAAATAATCCCCCATACTCACCAACTAAGAGTAAAAAATTACATAATATGTTAGGTGGGCAATATTTACCTCCACTACCTTACTATGCCAGGACGCAAAGACTGTAGTTTTTGCAAATCCGTCCAGTGGCGGCAGAGAAAAAGGCCAAAATAATTAGAATCTCTCAAACCTTGTTTTTTAGCACTTCAGACGATCCTGATCATTTTCTGAAATGTTTTTGTAGGGGTTGACATTTTTTTATGCTGTTTTATTTATACGTCTCCAAACAGAGTGATTCTACGCACATATTGGACACTTACATAGATGTCTTCGTGGTCCCTGATGGACAAGCGTCATCGTCGGTTGTCGTACGTCATAGTTGGCAATCGCTTCTGCACTGCTGTGGACTGTATGCACTGTGAATGGTGAAGGCCAGTATCATATATATATCAGTCATTCATGCGGAATTAATTATCGCAACGATCATGTGCGCCTGCAGCAATTCCTCTCAGTTGGAGGAGGAAGATCATTTAAGGCTGTGGGCTATACCCTTTTTCTCAGGAGGGCTAACTTGTGCCAAACATAATCCTTTACGAACTGATGAGAGTGTAGTGTAGGAAGTACAGAGTCAGCTTACTCGACGCTATTTTTTTACAGATAGGTTAGTAATAAGCTACTTGTATTTTTCAATGTGAATGGTAGCTGTGGCCATTTTGTCGTTTTACTAAGAACTGCTGCCTCTGAAGAGGGGATGGTAATAGACGGTTATTATATGGAAATTATCAAGATGAGTAGATAAAGATATCCAATACCAGTAGCCTACACCATTTTTTTTTTGCAAAAGACATCACATGACATGTTTGCAGTGACGCTACTGGCAGAGCAATACACTTTTACACTAAAATATGTCATCTTAAATCATTCTGTAACAAGGCAAAATTTTCACTCTTTCTTAAAAATTCAACACCTTGTGGCCAAAAATTTAAGACATTGCAGACATATACATATTTATGTAAACTTGTCTTCATAAAATTATTTGAGGAATTAACTCCTGAGGTACCAGAACATCATTAAGGAAAGTAGGAAGGCTCGGGTATGCATATCTGATTCGTCAAATAAAAGGTAATACGTCTGCTGTATGAGGAAGTAATCTAAAACAAACATATCTTGGCGTTTAATGACCGAGAGTCCATCAGACCCCGTCTGGAAAATGTTTGGTAATAGACAATACGCAGATCAAGAATAACTCGAATTACATGTTTTGTATCATGTCGCAGATAACAGATCAAGTCTGTCACTGACTCGGTCACTAAAACTGAAGTCTATGTTGCGTTAAATGTCATTGGTTACATGAAAACCAGTATTGGGATAAGCGTACTATGGAAAACCGGTTTCGGCTTGTCCTATAAGGGTATGAATCGGTATCCTGGTACTTGATTACATATTCTATCTCAGCTGTCAAAGACACTACCATTAGCGTGCAAGATGCATGGGTCATCCATCATGATCTGACATACGTGACCGTTTCCTACTCCAGCTGTTCCAGGACCACCTTTGTGATGCACCTGGAATAAAAAATAATCATGGGTAGATGTATAGAGAATAACAACATCGCTTTCGAGTTCGACGAGCAATATCTATGCATGGCATTAATATTACTCGACACGGATTATTAATTCTTGAACTTTTATCCAAATACAGGATTAAGCTTGAAGACCACTGTGTGTAGATGGTGTAAACGTTATGGTAGTCATTATTGAAATTGGTAATAGGGGGGGGGGGGGGTCAAAACAAGTCAAAAAGTTCACATGACCCATGGTCCAAAAGTCAATAGATTTTTGTCTAAATGGATTTATAGATTACAACTTTCACAATCACCACAATCTTACTAATTTTTATAATCTAATCTAAAACGTCTTTAAATTGGGTAATTAACAAATAAAGTTCATTAAGTTTTTCTAAGTTAAGCCAAAATTTGTGGTCAGTAAGTAAGTAAGTTTCATTAAATTAAATATTTAAAACACACATGACAACAGCGCGTCGTTCGTCATCACTCTCATCGAACCGGCAATCGATCGCAAACGGTAACAGTGGTTAGTATGATGTTTTGTTTTTGTTCGCATACGTCGTCGTGTCGATTTACAATGTTCTCGAATGAAGAGCTCGCCGACGTGTTGTTAGTCTACCGTGAAGCTTTTCAGAATTCAAATCTTGCAGCTCAAATTTATCGTGACAGATTTCGCCAACGGGTAGACCCAGACAGAGGGACATTTGTGCAAGTGTACCAAAGACTTCGAGATACAGAAAGTGTTCAGCCCACTAATATTCGCACTAGTGAAAGATATGTTACTGTAGAGCAGGAGGAACAAATTTTAAATATCGTGGAAATCAATGCAGATATCAGCACTCGGGAATTAGGCCGCCGCGTAGGACTTGTTACCAGAAGACTATCCTCGCAGACAAACATTCTGTCAGAGGCTCTTGCACAAAGACATTAAAAATCCGGATTTTTATAAAAACATTCTAGCGACGGACAAATGTACTTTTACGCGAGACGGGATAATAAATTTCCATAATACTCACCCGTGGGCCCAAGATAATCTTCATACTATTCGTGAAGGTCATTTCCAACAACGTTTACCCCCAAAGTTGTCAGGAGAAGGATACCTTAGCTTTCTAGCCAATAACCTACCAGAACTTTTGGAACAGACCTTAGACAATATGCCAATACAACACAGACTCAATTTGTGGTATCTCCATGACGGGGCACCACCACACATTTTTAGAGGCTTCATTGAGTATTTGAATGAACATTATCCAAATCGCTGGATCGGTCGAAATGCTCCGCATCTTCGAAAATGGCCAGCAAGGTCTCCTGACCTCAATCCGATGGATTTCTGGTATTGGGGAGAACTTAAAGGGATGGTTTATGACAACTTCGAGGACCTAGAGTAAGAAGAAACTGGGTTCGTCGTAATGAAGCTTGTGTGGAAAGTGGAGTACGACATTTTGAACACCTTCTTTAAATACAAAAAAACGTTTAGTGTGGATTTTAAAAAGAAAAACAATGTATGTATCAAAATTGTGTTCGCTATTTATAAGTGGATTTTCTTAATACGTACAATAAACTTTCACACACCAGATGAAGCGCTGAGACAGTGGTAAGTCCGTTTTTCTTAATTGTTTGCATTTTACGAGTACATTATCAAATAATGAAATAATACCTAAGAGCCAAAAATAACAAACTCCATCTTTATTTACACTGCGTTCCGTCGTAATTTGCGTCTGGCATTGCGGGGTTGTTAGATTTTATTTACTTTAAAGTCGCTTTTCTCTAAAAAAATGCCGTTTTGTTATAATGAAACTTTTTGCTTCTTTCAACCCCCTCTATCACGCATTTAAGTAATGACTATCATAAAGTTTACACCCTGTACATTGCTTGCATGCGGAATGAGGGAAAAGGACTTCACTGAAACACAGCTAGAGGGATATGGCCTGTGCTTCTGGGGTTTGTCCACAGATGCCAAGCGGAAAAGAGTGGTTAGATATATAGATGGAGTCAGTAAGCACACTATTGTAAAGATAATGTCAAGCATTTTAAGGTTTCAACTTTGCCATCATTATTTTTATACTGGATAAGCTAAATAGCTGAATGTGTTTTTCAAGTATAAACTCGGTATTAGACCTCCTTAAACACTACGTCCATCCATTTTCAGTGTACATAATGTCAAGTCTTCGATGATGTAGGACAAATCTACTACAACAGAAAGTCGGCTTACTATGTGGTGTTGATATGTTATTTCTTGGCGGTGATAACCTAACCTACCAATTTTGTTTTGGCAAAAATAGAAAGTGTGATTTTGTAGATGTTTCACACATTTAATTTGCATTCTGATGGTTTGATTTTTTGACGTTTGGTTTCGGCCGAAGGTTAAGTTAAGACCGAACCTCGACTTGGGCTTTTGTCATCATATGAGTTTTCGGTTGGACCCTAGTAATTACATAATCACTTTCAAGAAGAAATCGTCCAATTGTGACTAACCTCACATTCTTCTTTCTCCGAGAGTGCGACATCATCACATTCTTCCTCTTCTTCTACCGCCTCATCCATGAGGATGACTTCACATCCTCCCCCACCCCCATTCTTCTCACACATAGCGTGATGTCAGAGATTCAACGAATCCATATCTGATATCTGAAATTGAAAAAGGTATTTTGAAAAAGCTGGAAGTTAATTTGTGGTTTTGTCCATCACAGTGGCAAAATGGACATTGCCGCCTGGGCCCCCCAAGGAAAAATCAGCTCTAGTGACGATATTGTTCAGCGCATCTGAATGTTCAATTGATAACAAGAAATCACAGTGTTGTTATATTCTTTTAATGACCTGCGTAATGTTTACGAAACAGCGCGTTAGCATTCAGTTTGAATAAGAAAATTTCCCTTTCATTTCTTAAGAAATTTTTTGAAAAATGACTATTTTAATTCTAAAAACATGACCGAATGACCCTTTTATTGCGCAAGGAGTGGAGTGGTTATTTTTTCACAATATACTGTGCATTTTTTTATTTGATGACATATCTATTTTCTTCGTGATAATATCGTGGAAGAAATTTGTTGAATGTATTATCAATTGCATAGAAGTTGAAATTTCAAGAGTTTTTTTTTTTTATTTTTTTTTTATACTCCAACTACCACGAAGGCCTAAGGCCTAAGCACCCATTGGGTACCGTGGGGCTATGGGGGATACATGGGAAAGGGGGGACGCCACACGGACTCTGGCGAAGGAACACGTGTGCATGCAACATGCACACATTCTGGCTCCGCCTACGAGAACCGCCGGGTGGTACCTCCGCGTTCGACAGTCAGAGACCATCTACCACCTACGGACAATCACAACATCCATGGCCAAGAGAAACATTTCTCCTGGGACGGGAATCGAACCCGCACAGCGCACGGCGACTGATCAGGAGACCGAAGAGTCTACTACTGCGGCCACCGCTGCTGCCTAAAACAAACACACAACATCCATGGCGAAGACGAGATTCGAACTCGCGGCCCGGCCGGCCGGCTGATCAGTAGCACGACACTCTGACCCACGCGGCCAACCGAGGTCCCGAAGAGTGAGAGCTTCTAGCGAAGATATAAAGAATGCAAGATCTCTCCTTTACTCCATGAACTGGATCTGTTTTTTCAATTTGTTATGGTGGCATTCAGTATTGAGCGTAATGAATACCGTGCAAGTTCAAATCCAAAAGAAAGAAATAGACTTGATGATGGCTCAAAGGTGCATTTCAGCAGCATTAAAGAAGTTAAAAGGTTTGAGGAGCGAAAGCACATTCGATAATTTTGTTTCGAAGGCTGAGAATGAGCTTACAGTTAAATCAAAGTTGACGGATGCAGTGCTGCCAGAGTTTAGTAGAAAATACCAGAACGGCGTCCATTTAACATGTGTGCATTACAGATTTATCTAAGAGATTTGGAACTTAGAAAATTGGTGGTCGAACCAAATTCGCCTGGGGGAGTCATGACCCCCATGACCCCCCCCCTCTGGATCCGTGCATGTGGGTTTTGAACTGATTGAACGCCCTCCTTATCCACCTGACTTGATACCCTTTAATTAGTACCTGTGTTTGAAGATCAAAAAAGTTAAAAATATCGCTTATTTTTTGCAAGACAAGGCGATAGAAGCTATGGAAAGCTGGTTTGATGACCAAGAGGAAACATTTTTTCGAAAGGTTCAGAAGCTCTCTAGAATCAAAAAAGTGTGTTGAGTTAAAAGGTAACTATGTTGAATAATAAAATATCTTCAGTTCAAATCATCATATTCCACACGCAGTGAGCATTCAAGTGAATGCACGGCGATTAACGTCAATGTCTAATTATAGTTATTGCCCGTGATATACGCAATAGAAAAAAGGGCGCCTACAGAGTATCATAGAATATACCTCCTGAATACCTACCTCAACGAGCGGCCAATTGCTTTCCGGTGACGATCGCCCAGAAGGTCGAGATGGGGGTGTAGAAGAAGCTGGTGGAGATACACTAACAACCCGCAGTTGTGCGCTAAGCACCGGCGTTAAAATGGCCGGTTTCTGTCGGGGTCAGGCCACGGTCATCGACTGACCCTCAGGTTCAGGAGACCAGCAATTGTCTGACAACCAGCAACCAATCACTACTGTCACTAGACCAATCAATAGTGCCAGCATTATGTACACTTCAGCATTGCCTGCAAAATAAAAATGACATTCGATAAAATGAAGATTCAGGGTTTCAGTGTTTGGGGTTTTTTCAGTATGCAAACACTTTCTTGAGTCTCCAACATGCTGAATTAACTGACAAGCGTGGCATCTAAGAAACACGCTAACTCACAGACGAAGTATACTATCTCCAGGGGAATGGGTTTAAATCTTCCTTTATTATGTATGTATCCAAGAAAGAGGCTAAACCAAAACAGTGATCATCGCGTGACTATAATCAAATTCAAGCGGATAACCAAATGGAAATGGTATTTACCATTTTGGGTTGGTATTTACCAATCCGTTCAAGCCAGTGTAGTTATCAGTTTGGTTATAAGATCCGTGGCGTCACGAATCAGCTGTTATATGTCATAGTTATCACCGCAAAATTGTGGTATTTACCCAACTCAGGAGTAGTTTTATATTTCTGGTTATTATTTGAAATGTGACAAGTTAGAATTTTGCCGGGTATTGGATATTGTTATTGTACTTCAGCTTCATATTTGAGAAAAATGATACAGGCTGACTTCAGTTTACCATAAAGTGGAGCACCTTATTAGTTATACTCATTACGGTTGTTGGGGACACTTTAAATGTAGTTCGTATGCTTAACAAAGTATCCTATGTAGCCATATACCACAAGAATATTAAAATATGGCCATATAAACTCACTAGATGATATCCACCTGTATACGGTTTTGCTAATTTCTTTTTTCATCATTTCTGCTGAATCAATAAATGTTTTCTTTGACGCGCGGAAAAATTTAGAGAATTGAAAGTTCTCATAGCTACAAAGCCATGGTTCCATCATTAAAAAAAAAATCTGAAAAAAACATTTCTCCCATGAATATTATGAAAGGTTTCTTATTTAAACTTTCCATATACAGTTGTAGATGAAAAAGCACCGATTATTAAGTGATAATAAAAATAATCAGAGATTAAATACGCGCTTTTCTAAAATAAACAACTTGCAACAAAACCGCGGTTAAAACCAACGCGTTCAAGCGATTCGTGTAACTGACGTCATCAACCCGTGTGTCATCTTGAACCATATTATAACCGCGGCACATAACATAGAAATTTTGGTTATTCGCTTGGATTTGATTTATTGCCTGATCAGTACACTGGTATATTTCAAGAGAGAGGGAGCACAGCTGTTATTGGGCAGAATAGGTCGAGCCCTTACACAAAACCAATGACAAACCAGAGGATGGAGTGGGAGACGATACGACCGTGCATGCCGGCTGTCCCGGTGGCTAGCCATACCCTACAGTACAGAGTTGACCTCAGATTTATACTGGCATTACTAGTGTGCTTATTATATGTAGAACACAAAATGTCTGATGCGGATACAGCTGATGGAGTTGTTGATACAAGCTGCACACCGCGTAAAAAAACAGCTAAAACGCTGCATTTTAGCGTTAGCGGAAAACAAATAATTATCAACATTTATAAATACGAAATGCAAGGAAGGAGTGACTCAAGGGTTCAGGACATTGTTTGCCAAGCTGATACCTGCATATTTTTCAATACTTGTAAGACGAGGAATTTACAACTAAAATTATATTTTATTTTTGTTTTCGTACATGCTTAAGCTATACTAAGTGACATATAAATCCGAACACCCAGTTTAAATGGTTTTATTTTAATAAAATTTTGTATAATTACTTAGTGAAGCATAATAAGTAAATGATGGTGTGGTATCTCATTCCAGGCAACCACCAACTCCTCTCGAAGTGCTTCTAGAGTCTGAGGAGGGCGTTGCAAATTGAGCAATCTCCTACCCATCATATCCCACACGTGCTCAATTGGGGATAAGTCGGGAGATCTTGGGGGCCATGGTAACAATGTGACATCATTATGTTGAAAGAAGTCTATTGTGACTCTTGCAACATGTGGTCGGGCATTATCTTGTTCGAAAGTTGGATCTGCCAGGGTGTCAAGATAGGGTAAAAGATGGGGTTCTAGAACTTCGTGGATATAACGCTGCGCGTTCATGTTACCTCTCATGAAGATTAAAGGTAACCTGGAACCATAAGCTATAGCACCCCAAACCATAACTCCAACAGTGTGATGAACATGACTTTCAACAAAAAACTGTGGATTCCTCCTTTCACCAGGTCGCCTTCTAACCCTGGCACGACCATCGTGCATGCCTAAACAAAATCGAGACTCGTCACTAAAGACAATACTTTCTGCCTATCTCTGGGTAGAGCCAACCTAAGGTTGCTGGTGGGACTGTTGTCTGGCCATAACACGTTAAGGCGGCACCTGCACGTGATGGGGGTGGCTGAGGATCCCTTGTGCGAACGCTGCGGAGTAGAGGAAGAGACCTCGGCGCACGTTTTGTGTCGCTGTGAAGCTCTGAGCTACTATAGGCAGACTATACTGGGGTCCATTACTTTGGACCCTCAGGACGTAATGGAGCTTGGACTCAAGGCGATTCTCAACTTCGCTAAAAGGGCGAGGCTTGTGATTTAAGTATTGTAGAGGTGCATAAGGGCCCGCTTAAGCGGCCTATGCACTGGCTCCTTATGGTGGCCGGGATGCCTCTAAAATTCAAGATTCATTCATTCATGCAAAGACAATACTGTTCCATTCCTGATCCCAGAGTGACCGTTGTCTGCACCACTCAAGGCGATTACGTCGGTGTTCTCGAGTTAAAGGGAGGACCCAGTGTGGCCGGTATAAAAACAAGCCAAAACTTCTCATTCGTCGGTAAACACTTCGCATGCCAATAGGTCTTCCGTGTTCTGCAAACCATTCATTTGCAATGGAGGTCCATCCAGGTGGTAGTGGAGAAACCGTCCCTTAAGGCCAATAATCTTAGGCGGCGATCTTCACGGTCTGTTGTTCTACGGCGGCGTCCAGTGCCTCTTGCTCTTTGCGTACGGCCTTCTCGAAGCCATGCCTGACAACACCTAACCAC